GGCAGTTTTTTGATGAAATAAAAAGGAAATCTAGTCATATGAAAACATGCTCTAAATCATTGTTGATTAGAGAAATGCAAATTAAAACAACTTTGAGATATCACCTTACACCTATCAGATTGGCTAAAATGATAGAAGGGGAAAATAACACATGTTGGTGGGGATATAGTAAAATTTGGACATTAATAACACTGTTGGTGGAGTTGTGAACTAATTAACCATTTTGGAGAAAAATTTGGAATTATGCCCAAAGAGGGGCTATAAAACTGTGCATACTCTTTGAACCAAAAATACCATTACTAAATCTGGGATATATCCCAAAGAAAAAAGGAAAATAACCTCTATGTCTTAAAGCATTTATAGCAGTTCTTTTCGTGGTGGCAAAGAATTGAAAATTGAGGGGATGCCCATTAGTTGGGGGATGGCTGAACAAGTTATGGTATATGATTGTGACGGAATACTATTGTGCTATAAGAAATTTTAAGCAGAACACCTTCAGAAAAACTAGGAAGACTTACATGAACTGATGCGAAGTGAGGTAAGCAGAACCAGAACATACACAGCAACATCAATATTGTATAATGATCAACTGTGAATGACTTAGCTATTCTTAGCAATGCAATGATCCAAGACAATTCTGAAGGATATATGATGAAAAATGCTATCAATCTCCAGAGAACTTTAGAATGCAGATTGAAATATAATTTTTTACTTTATTTTTCTTGGGTTTTTTTGTAACATGACTAACATGGAAATGTGTTTTGCATTATTTCACATGTATAATTTACATCACATTTCTTGCCTTCACAGTGAGTGGGGAAGAGATTGTAGGGAAAGAGAAAATTCAGAACTCAAAGTTTTTTGCTTTTTCAAAAAAGAATGCTAAAAATAAATAAGCCTTATGGAAAAAAGCAACAAATGGTACTGCCCAGCTGTATTAGAAAAAAAAAGGCAAAATAAAAGTAAGATTTACTCGTCCCCTCCTGAAAAACACTCTAAATGAAAATTCCTGGGAATGTTATAGCCCAATCTAGAATTTCTATGTCAAAATCTGCAAACAGCCATCAAGAAAGAGTTTGAATACTAAAAACTATAGGCAAGATAACTTAAAGGCGCAAAGAGCATGGAATATGATACTACAAAAGGTCTAAATAAAGGCCTACAAGGAAGAATAACTGACACAATGAAAGAGTATGACCTTCCATGAGATAGAGGACTTCAAGTCCTTCTTGATGAAAAATCCAGAGTTGAGTAAAACATTTGAAATACTAATTATAGGAGTGAGGAGAAACAAAATTGTAAGTACATTTGCACAACTGGAAGGAAATTAATATGGATAAAATGTTTCCATTCTAGTGGGGAAACCAGTATAACTATTTCTTATGAACCCTAATATACCAGTCAAAAAGGTAGTCAAATAAGAAAGAGGACCTGTAAGTAGTTTTATTATGGTTTGATGGTCTTAAAAATAGGAAGGCAAGAAAAAGGAGGGTAAGATACACTAGAGAGAAAAAGGGAAGTTTGGAGGAACTTAGATAATTATAATGGAGAAGTAGAAATCCTATAGAAAGAAGGAAGTGGTAGAGGGAGCAAGTTACTTACACCTTAGTTTCATCTGAACTGATCAAAGAAAGGTAGAACACACATATTTACTCTCACTCAAAGTTGCTGGTGGAGAAATATATTCAACTCAACATAAAATGGGGAATAGGAAGGATAGATACAGGGAATAATTAATCATAAACAAAACAAACCCAACCTTCAGAGGGAGGAATCATGAAAAAGTTTTAAAAGGAAAAAAAGGAAGAAGGAAAGAAAGACAGGAAAAAAAGAATAGAGAAAGAAATAATAAGAACTTGTGATAAACAGAACATGGAGCAAAGAGAGGGGAAAATGTTTGAGAATAGAATGGGAGGGCGAGGAGAGAATATTCAGTAAGCCATCCTAATTGTTGCTGTAACTGGGATAAATTCATCCACAAAATGGAAGAGGATTCCAGAATGGATTAGAAGCCGAATACAACAATGTATTATTAATGAAAAATAGATGAAACAAGAAGATTTACACAGGTTTGAAATAAGGAACTGAGGCAAAATCTGTTACCTTAGCTGAACTCCAACAAATAAGGGTATTAATCAAAATCTCAGGCAATTTAATACTGAAGCTCATCAGGGGAACATATTAAGTTCACAAAGTACTGAATCAAATGAACCCAGTAGCCTTGTTTCCAAAGAACCAAAAGACCCTAGCGAATGGGGTAAGTCTCACTATGTGACAAAAACTGCTCCAAAAACTAGATACCAAATTTGTAGAAATTGGGTTTAAATGATTACATCAGTGCAAACAGAAAGAACAACCAGCCAGGGGAAAAAACCAACAACAGCTTGAGAATCTCAAAATTACAAAAAAGAACAAGCATGGCCTGAAAGAAGAGGTGAGAAGGCATTCTCAATATCCCCCTCTGCAGAACTGCAAAAGTGAAATCTATTAAACAGAACAGCTCTGTTGTAGACAAATCACTGCACCTTTGCTACTCTGCTTCTATTCTCTAGAAGCCAGCTACTTGTAAAGATTATGTGCTATACTTTAACCATTATTTTGCCATGAATGTTTTTTTCATCCTCTCTCTCAACTATGGCCATATTATCCTCAAAATATCCTAGATAAAGCTCCTTTCATTACCCTCCAAATCTTTCTCTTATATAAGCTTTTATATTTCTCTCATACTCCCCCCTTCCCTTCATCTAAGTGCAGTCTTGGGATTATCCTTGACTCTTCCAAATCTACCTCAAACTCCAAATCCAATCAATTGGTAAAGTTTGTCAGTCCTATTTGCACAATGTAACTCTTACCTTTTCCATTCTCCCCACTCACATAGCCTCTATTCCAATTTAGGCCATTGTTGCCTCTTGCCTGAATTGTTACAAAAGCCAACTAATCTGTTTCCTTGCTTTAAGTCTCTCCCTTATTCATTCTGTCTTCGGGAATCTGCCAAATTGATGTTCTTAAACCACATATCTGTAACCCTTCTATTCAAAAGATCTTTCATGCCCTCTATTGCCTTTGGAATAAAAGATACATTCCTCATCTGGAATCTGAAACTTTCCAAAATTTGTATCACAGTTTTATTTTCTATTATTTCCTCTCACAATTATCCATTCTAATTAAACTGTCTTGCCAACTATTTCCCATACATGATGTTCCATCTCTCCTCTCATTGCCATGTTCAGAATGCATTTCCTACTTCCCACCTCTGCCTGGTAGAATTTATAGCTTCCTTCACAGACAACAACTCAGGTGCCACTGTTACATGAGATCTTCATTCCCCCCACCCCCGCCTTAGCTTTCTCTCCAACTTGAAATTACTTGATATGACTCTGAACATACTTTGTATTTACATATATGTTGTATAAAAAAAATCAACAGTCATTTTTGTACTTGTTATGCAAAGAGCCCATTTCTGTTAAAAAATCGTGATAGATCAAGGGAAATCCTTGCTGTGAAAGAGCAGAGCAATGTCCTAAGCTAATTTGTAGGCTATGAATCTATCTTCTATTATGCATGTTGCTTGAAACTGTAATTCATTGAATATTTTCTTTAGCTATCCTTTCTGACCTGTGCTGTAAGTATACTATAGTATTTCTAGTATTATGTAATTAAATCTTAAACTGTGCCATTTCTCAAGAAGACAGTTTGGCAAAATTGGTCCTCTTCTTTCTGAAAATGCCATTTGTGCACAAATAGTTGGTGAAGTAGAACTTTGGAATCCATTTATATATTATTTTAGAATGTACTATGACTTTGTTGAATCTTTTGGTAGATGGAAGTTGTGAGAACAATGAAATGTTTCTAAAAGCTTAAACAACCTTTTTCACAAAACCACAGTAACTTAATAGTTGCCATTGTCTGGTCCTACTAGTATAATTAATGCAGAACACAGGGTCTGGAATCAGAGGACCTGGCTTTGAATAATTTTCCCTAAATTCTGTGTCTGACTATTTTATTTCCTTTCTTGAGAAACTTCAGAAAATCCTTATTGCCTCTAGGATAAACTACAAATGAATCAGCTTGGCATTTAAAGCCCTTTTAAATTTGCTGCAGTTCTGGACTTTTATCACATTACTCCCCTTTACACACTTTTTATTTCAGCAGAGCAATCCTATTCCCTGAGTTTGACGTTCCGTCTTCCACCCCCTTACCTTTGCATAGGCTTCCCTGTGCCTGTAATGTGTACTTTTCTTATGTCTACTTCTTAGAATCCTTGTCATCCCAGTTCAAGTACCACCTTAATTGTTAGTGTATCCTCCCTTCCAGATTAGTTTCTGTTTACCAACCTATGTACATGTTTTATCCTCCAATAGAATCAGCCACCCAGTCAACTGGCATTTTTAAATCTCGTACTATGTGCTAAATACTTTGCTGATACAAAAGCCAAAAGTAACATGGTCCCTGTCCTCAAAGAGTTTACATTTTAATGGTGGAAACAAGATGTACACATACAATACATGTAGAATACATAATATATGTGTGTATATATGTATAATATATATATATAAATCCACATATAATTTATGCATATATAATAGTTTCTATAAAGCTAATCTGACCAACATATAATAATGTTTTCTAAATTGTAACAGCAAAAAAAAAAGCTGATGGTTTACAGTTCATTTATTTAATTTTATTTCAGATTTTGTCAGTTGGTACAACTGAGACTGAATAATCAATCCTGTTTTGAAATCTGGTCTCTAGATTATTAATTATAATAGGTTCCAGGCAAAATTGTGACAGCCTGGGTTTTGTAAACACTCTACTTTGCTTTCTTAAAGTGCTAACATCCATATAAATATGGAAGTTGAGAGAATGCATTGTGTTTTTAAAATACATGGTTATCATTCATGTAATTATTTGATGAGTTTAGAATGCTTTAAAGAGTTAAATGAAAACTTTCCTCTGACCTTTCCCATTGGATAATCAATTTTATTTTCATTAATTTCCAGATAACCTTCTTCATGCTGCTGTCTGCAGTGTGTGTAATGCTGAATTTGGCTGGTTCTATTCTCTCCTGTCAGAATGCTCAGTTAGTCAACTCCCTAGAAGGCTGTCAGTTGGTGAGTAATGAAATGGAGACCTTCAAACAAAGGGCAAAGGCTTTGATTTCGCATTAAATCCATTTTAAAATCCACATCTTTTGGTGTTTGTGGTTTTCATTCAGTGTTTCCATTGATTCAGACTTTTGAGTTGTTTAAAGAAATTAAAGTGATTTCTAAAAATATTTCCCTCCACATTATAGCTTATTTTACTTGAAAACCACTTAGGATTAGTGTAACCCAAAGTAACACAATGTAAAAAATTTTTTAAGAACAAATGTTTTACATTTACTGAGTGATAATTATTTTTTAACATTTGTCACAGTGATATTTTTATAATTGTTTTTGTAAATTGAAATTTTAAAATGTATCACTAAATTAATAATAACTTGAATGCATAGAAAGTACATAATATAATTCTAAAAATCTTGAATAACAGTCAGGAGACTTGGGATTCCTGTCCTGGCTTACCACTAACTTGTTCTAGGTATTGAGACAAGCCATGTAATATCATTCAGTCTCATTTTTCTCATTTGTAAAATGAGGGGAGTGGATTTCTGCCTCATTCTCCTGATGGTCAGAATTCCAGTTGATTTTCTATTTCTGTAGTTTGTGAGCCATTAAAGGCTATGCTGAATTGCTTCAAGTTTTTTTTTCCTTGTAACATCCTTATAATATTTCTTACTATTTTTCTCTTAGTCTCCCTATTTTAGCTCCTAATAGAGGAACTTGGGATGTTGCCTCACATACATCTAGGCTGCTAGAAGTGAGGTTAAGTGAGCAGAGCTTCAAAGCTGATAAATTCCCTGTGCTCTGAGAATGCATCTTAAGTACTTTGTTTTGCTGTGTGATGTTAATTATAGCTTATGTAACATTGTTCAAACTTATCCCAAAAGTGGGTAGAACATCTGTGGCAAATCTAAATTAAATAACTGAATTCTAGACAAGTAGTACTGCTGCACTGCCAATATTCATCCTCATCTGGAACTCACCGGCATCTTACTGTCTCCCTTTAAGTAAATATCTACAGACATAAAACTCTAGTTCACAGAACAAACAGAGCATGGTACTATAAAGATACCAAGGTCATAGGTTCATTCTCTGTACAGATCACTTAGATTATCTCAGAAATACAATAACACACAATACCAATAACACTGGTTTACCATCTTACAAATGCTAGTTATGAGAAGTGAGAATATTTAAATAGATCCATCATTACAAATGTAAACGTTGAGAAGTTTATGCCTTTTGTTGAGAGAGCAGTAATGTAACCTTCACATATGAAAGACCACACATTCACATAAGTGAAGACACTGTTTTACTTGAAGCATAACTGGACTATATAATAGTAGTATTAAGAGTAGTGCTAGTAGTAGTGGTAGTGGTAATAATAGAAGTAGTGGTATGGTGGTTGTAGTAGTAGTAATAATGGTAATTGTAGTAGTGAATTGAAGTAGTAATACTAGTACTAGTAGTAGTGGCAGTAGTAATGGGCATCTTGGTAGTACAATGGATATAACTTTGAGTTTGGAATGAGGAAGACTCATCTTCATTTGTTCAAACCCAGCCTAAACACTTACTAGCCATGTGGTCCTGGGCAAGTTACTTAATTCTGTTTGCCTCAGTTTCCTCATCTATAAAATGAGCAGGAGAAGAAAATGGCAAACTGCTCCCGTATCTTTACCAAGAAAACCTCAAATGGGGTCACAAAGAGTTGTACATGACTGAAAAATGACTGAACAGTAAGTAGTAGTAAATAGTAGTGGTGGTAGTAGTAGTACTAGTAGTAGCAGAGGTAGTAGAGGTAATGGTGGTAGTGCTACTACTAGTACTAGTACTAGTACTACTAGTACTACTATACTACTACTACTACTACTACTACTACTACCAGTAGTAGCTAAGTGGTATAGTGCAGGGCTTCTTAAACTTTTCCCACTGGGACGATTCTTTGTTGGCGTTGCATGGCCTGGCGGAATGCATAATGCAAAGTGTGCATGCTTTATGCTCCTATCCCAGCTACAGTGAAGTTACTTGATGCAGCACTGGAATGTGGGCAAGCATTGCCAGAAGCACCTCAGCTTCATTATGGTTTGATTTTGAATTAATTTTAGGTCATTGAATGTTCAGAAACCTTTTACTGTTGCCAGTTTTTTCCTCAACCTTTTATGAGGTCATGGCCCACAGTTTAAGAAGTGCTGGCAGTAGATAGAGTGGAAAACCTGAGTTTAAATTTGACCTCAGACACTTATTAGCTGTGTGATCCTGGCCTCTGTTTTCTTAAGTTTTCTCATCTGTAAAATGGAGATGATAATAGCTCTCAGAATTATGAGGATTAAATGAGATAATATTTGTAAACTACTTAACACAATGTAAGTGCTATATAAGTATTAGTGAATAGTTATAGGGCAGTGATAGTAGTAGGTACAAAGGCAGCAGTAGTCATTAGCATTTGTGTTGCACTTTAAGATTTGCGCAGCACCTTATATATAATCTTACTTGACCCTCACAACATTTCTGTTAAGTGCAGTTAATATTGACATTTTACATATGAGGAAACTGAGTCTAAGACAGTTTAAGTGACTTAAATGTCTGAGGCAGCATTCAAACTCAAGCCTTCCTGACTTCAAATTCATATTAGAGATTGGGGTTGAGGGATAAAGAAGAATGAATGTGATTTTATGTTTATACACTCTTAGGTGCTTATTTATGGCTGTGAGTACATATGTTCCTTTATAAATCCTTGATTTTAGAAAGCAATTCCTTAGGGATTATCCTGAGCCTTGATTCAAAATCCTGTGGTACAGAAGTAGAAAGAGAAAAGGCCAAAAAAATCTTGTTACGGGATATCTGTAATTCCTGCCCTACTCATGAGCTGGAAGTCAAGGGCATCCCAAAAAAGGGATCTGATGAGACACCTACCTTCAGAGGACACAGGATTTGAATAAAATGGATGCTCATTCTAGAAAGTTTTGAACACAAATGTATACCTAAACTCTGCACTGTAAGCTCCATTTTTTTTTCTGGAGGCCTAGGAGCTGTTGACCTTTCTAAGGCGAGAAAAGTAGCATCTGATAAGCAGAAGACTTGAAATCTCTTAGAGGACAGAGGCAGCTCCAAGCCTCTTGAGATCTGCCACCCTGGGCTATCAATCCTAGGGTGGCCAGAGGAGAAGTGGTCTTTTTCATCATAGGATCCAGGTGTGAAGCATCTTCACAGAGGTATTTTGAGTCAGTGCTATAGAAAAGTCTATGATTTGGGTCAGAGCTATGTACAGATGGGTTAATGCATCAATTAATCACCAGGTATTCATTAGGCATCCACTATGTACTGGGCACTTTTCATAGTGAGGTACTTCTCAATTAAGGTAAGCAGACTGCAGATCTTCTATGCCCCTCCGGGGTTCCATATGGCCTCACCCCCCCCCCCTGCTCTTCTATGGTCCCTGCAGCTGGAGCTGCTTTAGAGCCTGGAGCTGAGGTACCTGACTGCACCTAAGCTGTAGCCCCAGTAGTCCCTGAAGCCCCTTCAGCCTTCCCGGTACAGAACCAAGTCGAATTTGCTAAAGTGAATTTATGTAAAGCAAGAACTGTGTGTAAGTACTTTTAATTCAAAGACAAAAAAAACAATGAAACTCTGTGGGAGCCTAGTTCTTTCCAGGAAGATAACATCCTATTAGATTGCAAGCTCTTTGTTTCATTCATTCATTGTATTTATAAACCCAGTGCCTTGCCCAGAGCCTGGAACATAGGCACTTAATAATATTCATATGTGAACTATAAATAAAATATGTGAATATAAAATATAAGTAAAAATAATGTGTATGTGAATATAAGCAAAATAAAATAAATGCAAAGTAATTGAGGGTGAGAGGGGGCACCATTAGATTGTGAGCTCCTTGGGAGCAGGTAGTGAATTTTGCTTTTCTTTGTTTCCCCAGTGCTTAGCACATTGCCTGGCACATAGTAAGTGCTTAATAAGTGCTTAATTGATGGACTAATTAGTCGTGGGGTATATCTGGAAAGGTTTCATGTGGAGTATGCACTTGAGCTAAATACTTGAAAGAAACAAAGGATTCTAGTAGACAGAGATGAGGAGAGAGTGCATTCACTACAAACATATGGGATAGCCAGTGTGAGAGATGGTAGAGTAGTTTGCATGAGGAATAGCAAGGTTAGTTTGGCTGGATTATAGAGCCTGCAGGAGAATGATTTCTAATAAGTCCAAAAAGTTGGATGGGCTTGGGTTGTGAAAGGCTTTAAGTTCCCAACAGAGGACTTTGTATTTTCTGCTGCAAGCAATTAGGGAGCCAACTGGAGTTGGCACTAGAAGCAATTAGGGAGTAACTGGAGATACTTGAATAAGGGAGTGTCAGGATCACACCTGTGCTTTAGGAAAATCACTTTGGCAGCTTTGTGGTGGAGAGGAGAGAGACTTGAGGTGGGGAGACTAATTAGGAGGCTATTGTCCAGGTGAGAGGTAATGAGGGTCTGAGCTAGGATGGGGGTTCTCTGAGTAAAGAGATGGGTGTGAGAGATTTTGTGAAAGCTGAAACAACAGGATTTTATCAAAATAACGTACCATGGACATGAGCTGGCATTAAGTTCACTTCATTGCTTGTTGCTTCTATCCTGTCTGACAATGTTTCTATTAAAAAATGGGGAAAATGGTTTTTAACATATTTGTATATAACATTATAATGAGAAAAATGATGACAAATATAACTATAGATTATTAATAAAGTCATGACTGTTATATTTGATTATATTAATAATAACAATAATTATATATGTTGTATATTAATGACCATAAATTCATGTGATGAATATATATATTATATACAAATTTATTTATAAGCATATGTTTATATATAACATATATGAAACTGTGAAAAATGGGGAGGAATATAGCAAAGTTTTGAATTATAGCCCCAAATTCTGCAAATAGAAATTATGGTAAAAGTTTTGCAAACCTAGGAAGGACGTTTAGATGAAGATGGAGTAAAAATTGTGGGACTCTTT